TCTCCTAAGTAGGAATTGTTTGACATGTGTCTGTCAGTCAGTGTGTTACTGAAAAATTCATCACATTTTTCTATCTGATGAATTTTTTTAAAAATTAATGCTTACTCTGCAACTAAATGCAGCTATTGTTAACTTTAAAAAATCAATTTGGAAGAGTAATTTATTAATTCTAATAAATTGGGTAGTGTCTAATTCTGGGCATCTAATTACAGCATTAGGACATGTTGCAACCAGTTCTGTGCTGTCGAATTAGGTTTTTGTTATGTGGAATAATAATTTACTTTCCAGAAGGACAGCTTGCTTTCTAAATGGAAGGATTTGTCTGGAGTGTTGTTATATTTTGTTTTAGAAAGCCCCAAAAGAAAAAGCATCTCTGGTATAGAAGGTAAAAAGGGGATTAAATGCTACATTTTCACTTCTCTTGGCAATCTCAGCATGCTGGATGACAGATTCACATATTTTATGTGGAATTTCTTTTCATTATTTTTGTTTTCAGTTAATTTTTTCCTTATCTTTGTTCCTATTGAACTATGTAAACTGGCTTTCTTGTACTCAGTATACTCTTACACTACAGGAATTGTACTGCTTGTGGCTTTTTCACACACACTTGTAAATCTTAGGGAAAAAAATTGTCTCTGATAGCTTCATGAAGCAGCTTTGACAGCTGCAGCTTTTTCCTGTTGAACTTTCCAGTTTTCTTCTTTATCTTGTTTTATTTCTTCAGTGAATTTTTCACTGTCCGTGTTTTATCTTATTCTAATTTTTTCTTTTTACTTATCTTTTTATAATATCTGATTTCTTGTCTTTCTTTGATCCTTTTTTTCCTCACATTTTTCCCCACTTTTAACTCAACAGATTTTCTGTTTCCTTAAGTGAAAGAAAAATATTTATAGTTTATGTAAAATAATTTGTTAAGGGAAATGAAGTCAATTCTAGCTTAACAGAGTTTTTTTGGTTTCTTTGATTAGGAGAAATGGTCTTTACCAAAGGACTGTGTGGAAGTGTGAAAAAGGTACATAAAATCACACCTTGGACACTGTTCACTCATGAGTGGGGGTGATTGGCTTAGAGATGAGCCTTGCTTCTTTTAACGTTGATTCACATACCTACAGCATAAATGCAATGAAGAGACAAGATAACAATATGCAATACAGCTTTAAAATTCTCTCTGAAACAATTTGGATGCTATCTCTGTCAGTACGTGCAGAATGCATTGCTCAATAGATGGTTGTATGTTGTCTGTATCATACTGACTGAGAACTTTGTCCTTCTTCTAATGCAAAGTCCAATAGCTCATCTCTGCCACAGCCTGGGGAAAGAGAGAAGAGATCAACTACAGATAAGTTTAAAGAACCATTTCTCTTCATCTAACTACAATTTTTTTTCCCTGCTAGTTGTCAGATGTCCACTGGAGTCCTGCATATATGTTTTCGACAATCTGTGAAACTCTTCTTCCTAAAGATAAAATAGTAACAAACTTTTCATTTCAAACTTTTCATTTCAATGCTAGCTCACTTTTCTGTCTTTGATCTCAAGATCAGTATAAAATTATTTCTGTGGTGGTGAAGGATGTAACACAGGTAATGGACTAAGCAGAGGAAAAACAGAAAGAAAAAGATTATTTTCCTGCCTGATAGTTTATATTCAAATAATGTTATTGAAGTTGGTCAGATTTTGATAATGTCAGAATTTTTTCTGGAAGGGAAGAAGCCTATAGGGCAGAGTGCAAAGGGGGAATTCAGAAAGTAAATGAGAAGTGCAGTTAATTACAAGTACCATAACTTATTGTAACTGCATCACAGTGGGGCTGAAAAGGGTTCCTGAGGGATGTAAAATAAATAAATAAATAACGTGGAGCTGCACTGTATGTGCATTTACAAAGGTGAATTATTCAGATGAATACAGATATATGATCGATTTGATTATGAGAGGTAGGAAACACTGAGATTCAGGACACGTCTCCACTATTAAGGATGCATCTCCTCCTCATGGTGCATACACATTTTGTATCACTACGCTTTTACTGGTTTCCTGGGAGTTCATTACTGAGGCTTGCTGCCTTGCTAAGCAGTAACTACTCTTCCGTAATGATATTCAGTAGTGCTGATGGGACTCTCCCACCTCATCTTATTTATTTATTTATTTTAATTTTAACTCATTCTGACAGTCCCTTGAGATACACAGCTCATTTTCATCAGGGGCTCCCAGGAGACAGCAATAACAGAATACTGCTTTGCAGCTGCATGCATCATTATAAAAAAAATCCATAAAGCAGGACACTTAATCTGAAGCTACAGACGAGCTCTGAGCAGTCAGAATCTCAGTATGAGAGTGTAAGGCAGCAAATGAAGGCATTTCAAAAAGTTCAATCCTTTTACAATTGCACACATTTTGTATATTTCCTATCTCCTTGTTATCCATTTCAGATCTTCCCATCTGTACTTGCCCCTGTAGACTAGCTTTGCTGTCCTCATGGCAAATTGTTTTGTTTTGTTTATTTGTTTTTAAATGAATGTTTCTAGTAAACCTTTAATAGAAGGATGCTGAGTAACTCAGAATAGTTTTATACTAGTTTTAATATAAGTTTACAAGAGCCAAAACACTTCGAAGAATCTTCACTACATATCCTTCTTCATTTAATTGTCGAAGTTCTCATGTGGAAATGATTCTCCATGCTTAAAATACAATTCAGTAACTCTTGAAGCCTGAATTCCTGTTTGTAACAGGAAGCAGACTCCATTGTCATCTTTTTTTTTCTTTCTCTCTCTCTCTCTAATTTTAAAATATATGAGAATTAAAAAAAAATAAGCCTTCAATTTTTGGTGTGTTTTTTAACTAATAATCTCAGAATGGAATTAAATAAAATAGTGTTTTTGAAACAAAGTAAATCCACTTAATTCATTTTCTTCTGCTTAACATTACACCTAAGCAGAGCAGACATTTAAGAGATGAAGAAGCCCTTTGAATTTTGTCACTTTTAAAAATTATTATTATTTGTTTTGATTGTGTAAATAACACAGTTTAAATGATCCATCTTGGTGTTTTTGAATTTACTCTGTAGATGACTTTTGAGAGGAGTTAGAAACAAAGATCTGTATAGTAAATCGTGATTTATTGCTATATTCTGCACTCATATATATTTATTCTTTTAGAAAGTATGAGTTTTCCACTAGTATCATCTTAACAGTTTTTATGAAGGAAAGTTTAGTAGCAATGATTTTTAAATACATTTTAAATGTGCCATCTAAGAAATCTCAATGCACCTTATATACAATTTTTTGCATTATTATGCACTGGTGATAGTCTTATAAATGGCTCCCAGGCATTTCCCAAGATGGAGAGAAAAGGAAGAATAATAGTACTTGAATAAATAAAATAGTAGCCTTACTGTTTTGTAAGGTACCATTGTACACCTGAAATATAACAATGACTTAAGTATTTATTTAAGAAGCTCATCTGCAATTATAGGAATCTTTAGGAGGAAACTTCATTCTTCCAGACAAAACTGATTTCTAGCATGAATAAGGGAAAAAATGCAAAAAGGGGAGGGAATCAAGGAGCAAGTTACAGTTAGAAACAAATGTGACTTGGAATCTCTGGATTTGTTCTCTGATATGACTTCATATAACATTTAGCTGTGAAAAGTTCCTATTAAGTCACATTTCTATGTAAAGAAGGTAACAATACATTATTGATGCATGAAAACTGTTCTGAAATGAGATGCAAGGCTTTTGAGAGATCAGTGGCTTGGTCTTTCTTGAGGTTGATGAGTGATTACATTGATATAGAAATGGAAAGAAGGGTAAAACTGAACACTAAAAATTCCTTTCTCCAGTAGAAAATACTGTACTGAGTTTCTTTTTTTGACTCCTCGCCAGACACAGGTGACTGGTGGTCTTTCCCTTACTTCATTATAACCCTTTGTAATAAAATGAATAATGGCAACAGAAAATATGTCACTAAGGGTATTTCTATTGCACAGCAAAGTCTTGAAGTCCTCTTCCATTATTGTGGAGAAAAAAAAATCCTGTTTCTTTCTGTTGGCAAGTTCATATAGATTTTAATAACTTTATGGTACCTAAACAAACCTAAAACAGTTCTAATTTTTTTGGTGGGAGTAGATTTATTTACATGGTTGGAGTCTCCTACCTTGATTGATTCTTGGTACATTCAGATAAGGGATCGAACTGTTCGCTCAGAGTAATTATTCCTCTGAGGTTAAAACGTATTTTTTTTTTCCCTAGGTATTTTGCTTTATATACAACACTAACTTCTATGTAAATTTTCATATTTTACCATTGTGTGCAACAAGATCATATTTTTCTTTTGAAGCTGAGAAAATATTGTCACTGGGAATTTTGGTCCTTCTATAAAAATAACCATTTAAACAGCAATATCTGAATTTTCTGTCAATACTATCTAATTTTATGAAATGCCACCATGGTACTGGTTGGAATTTAAGTAAACACTCGAGTAAAAATGCACATTTTGATTGAAAGTCTCTTTCAGTATGCTCTAATACTCATTCAGAAACCTCAAAGCCCATTTTGGAAATTTTCCTTTGAAAGCCATGATAGCTATTGTTTTTTTTTCAATGTTGGATCTCTGTGCAGTGTATGGAAGATCAAGAACTTATCAGAAATGAATTGTCATTCCTTATCTATCTAGCATCTATCTAATGACACTGTAGGAATGATTTTATTTAACTGCCAGACCAGATCAGTGATTTATTTGCAGATAATCATCAATTTAACTTGCCCAGGTCACTGAATTTTTAATGAAGTATATATTCTTCATAGCTTGGAAAAAAACATGCTAATTCTTAAGATACTTTAATAAAAACAATCAAAAAGCACTTTTACAGAAAGGACTGAAATTTTAGCTACAGTGAGAGTCTTTGAGAGACTGGTTAATAAAGCTGTGAGTGTAATCTAAGGTCAAAAACTGAAAACTACTGGTTTTAGTGATGAGTAAGTGGCTTTCTTTTCTTTCCCTATTAGATAGAAAATGGTCGTCTGTGGAGCTCTATGGTGAAGACCTCAGAAGAAATATCAGTTTTTCCAGTCAGCTTTTCATAATGTAAATACAGTTTGAGCTTCCCCCAATGGGCAGCTAAACCATGAACAAGCAGAAAAACCCTTTTTGGACTGTATTTCTGAACCAGGCTTCACCTTCCATCTCGAGAACTTTTTAAAGGATTACAGCTGAAAAAGACAAGAGAAAGAAAACCTTGAACAGGAACCCTATCCTACAATGAGAATTACAAGTACATCTTGTATCTGCCCAGTCCTAGTTTGTCTCTGTTTTGTGCAGAGGTGTTATGGAGCTGCTCATCATGGCTCCATCAAGGTGACTAGAAATCAAACCAGGCATACAGAAGGTGAAACAGAAGTACATCATCGTCCCAAGCGTGGATGGGTGTGGAATCAGTTCTTTGTTTTAGAAGAACACATGGGACCAGATCCTCAGTATGTAGGAAAGGTAAGGTATTATCTTTTTGTTTTTATTTTTCCGTCTCCTGAAACATGGCACTGATAGAGGAAAACCAGATATCTCCTTAGATGTCACTTCATTTTAATGGCGGGCACCTCTCAGGTTGTTATATACAAGCACAGTGAGCTTACCAGTTCCCTAAGTATGCTTTCTTTGTTTATTATAAGCAAAAATATCAATAAAAGCAAATAGGATGAAGTTAGAGTATTTATTCTGAGCTCAGCTGTACATGCAGTAAATGTGACTTACATCGGATTTTGTAGACCCCTAAGTGAATAATATTTAAATATGTCAGTGCTAAATCCTTTTCTGGAGTATTTAAAAATAAGGTTCAATTCTACATCGGGAAATATAATAAATACAGTCTAGATTCAAGAACATATTAACTCAGATATGTAAGCGTAAGTTGGAAAAGGACTCCTTCAAAGGGAGAGCTCTCTGTAGCATTTTTATAATGAGATGCAGACGGTATGTTACTTGCTATAACACATAAGAAGCCTGTAGAAACAGCAGGCCCTATATTTATGTTTTTATTTACATGGTGAGTTTCAGGCATAAGGTTCATGGTGATGCAGTTGTAGGCTATCCAACAGAATTCTAGTTTATTATGTGTAATATTGTCTGTATAATTTCTGTTTTAAATTTACATTAAAAAAAAGCACAGAAATCATTCTGTGTAGCTTTATTGCAAGACACATGACAGATGGAGGTTTTTCCCCATGAATACTGTCAGCATAATGATAGAATTTCTTATTATGTAACCTAGAAGAATCTTTATTTCTGTAATGAAATTGGAGAAGTATGTTAAATGTGAGTGGTAAAGAAAGATGGTTAATAGGAGTAAAGCATGGTAAATGAACTATTTCGTTTTGCCTTCATTTTGCCCTGAAGATGAAAGTCTTTAAAATTATATTTTAGAATATACAAAATATCCAAGGAAACCAGTAGCTCCTGAAATCACAGATGTCTGGTAGCCAGGGCTTTCAAATTTGAACAGTATCATCTTACCCAAAATAGCAACTGGAGCATTTGCATATAAGATACTGTCAACACAAAAAATCAGAAAAATACCCTGTTTTTTTAGATCAGTCTTAGTAAAATGCCAAGTACTTGGCACACTGGAAATCTTTAGGATTTGTGCGGGAAATGTAGACTGGGGAATGACGTTTCTAAATGGAAATACTTTGTTACATTGAATTAAAAGTTTATAAGGTAGGTGAACTGATGAAGGAATATTCCTCCAGAGACCATGTTAGTATGATTAACATTTTCATGTATGAGTTTGGAATAGAAGAAATATTCCATAAACATGTTGCCAATGTGGGTCTTTGCAGGAGATTCTAATGATTATCTGGTAGAGCCAGATAGCATGAAGAATATTGGTACAGCAAGATAAAGGGTAAACATCAAGACCACAGTCTAATAATGCTCATGTAGAACAAGATCATGAATTTCAACAGTTGTACACTGTTGATTCATCAAGTGTAAGGGACAGAGAAAGAGAAAAATCTGGTTATCAGATCAGTTATAGATTCTAGTGTTATACATTAAATAAGGTAGATATGATTTGAAGCTGCAAAAGCTGGGATGGGGAAAACAGAGACAACGTAGTATTAAAGCAGCTGTACAAAATAATGCTAACATGTTTACTGCTGCCTTTAATTTTGTTAAAAATATAAAAAAAATATAAAAAAAAAAGAATTTACTTGTGAAGCTACATGCAGAAAATCCAACACTGTGGTTGGAAGTGGTAATGGAAAGTAAAACATGATTGGATAATTGCCATCAAAAATAATAACAGAGACTATGTATATATTTTGTAAATACACTTCAGAGGAAACCACAGGGGAAAGAGACCTATTTAAGTTGATTCAGCTTGTTTCTGAAAAAGGTTAGGTTTTGTTCACAATGAGTTTATTTAGGATGGAAATAAGAGAGTGAGATTCTCAAAGAGGCTGTTAATAGGAAGAGTGGACAGGATCTGAAAGAATTTCAAAATAAAGCATCCTTGTTTTTATGATAGCATTCTCAAAGATGATTGCATGAAAAAGTAGACACCTCTATGAGGATTTGGTGACCTATAGAATGATCCCTTTCAATTTTATGTTGCTATGATAATGTTGGAAATATTCTTTCACCCTCTGACTTCTATATTAATGCTACATTTAAAAAGATCAATAAATAGGACTGTGTTTAATCCCTCGTGGTCAGAAGCACATTCCTTATCTGAGGACATTTCTTTCTCTGTACTTACCAATATTTTTCTTCCTTTTCCTGTAAGAATTCCCTATGCTGTACATAGTTTTCTATACTGAGTACATCACAACATTTGTAAACTCATTTTTGCAGAAGCTTTGTGGGACTTAGAAGGTCTATTACTCTACTTTACATTTGGTAAATAGAGTTGTGATGGCTCTGATGATCTGAGTTACTGCAAATATCAATCACATTACTTCATTTACTTTTAATTTGGAAAAAAAGAAATGACTAGGTGAGACTGATGTTATGTTAGTAATGAAGATTGAGTAGTAATCATTGTGCATCAGTTGCTTTTCATTTTGAAAAATAGATGTTTAGTTGATGTTACATTTAATTATACATACCTCACAAGGCCTCATTTGACCTGACTAATTGAATAAGAGATTTTCTTTAAAAACCCCTCAGATTATGAAAGAAGGCAATGTGACTGTTGCCCTTTAATTCCAGTCTTCCATTCAGTGGCAGCACCCTATCAATTCTGTCAATTATTAATTTTGTAGACTACTCTGCTTCACTGGTGAGTGTTTTGCCATTTGATATCTGTCCTTTCACATTTTTCACACTCATTTGAGAAGCATCATCACAGAAAGCAGAGTCATTATGTACAGTGCTGTTATAATGATTACAGTCATTGTCATGGAAATGTACACTGAGGACAAGAATAGGATAGGCCTGCAATGAATATAGTAAGGTTTCTCATTCTTATCAGGAAATGACTGTCAAGACTGTGGATAATTTTACTGCTATCATCTGTTATACACCAAAAGTTAGGACAACAAGTCATCTTTATATTTTAATATCAAACATATCTCTGTTTCTCAATCGTTACTTCTTTTCTGTAAGAAAATATAGTTTGGAGACTAGAAATGTGTATAAAACTAATGTGTATTAGTAATGATTATGAGACTTTTATAGGAACAAGGAATAAGGCAAAACACAGATCTTGGAAAAATTAGGTTGTGATAGAGATAAGAAACAAACATTTTGTAATTTTAAATATTTTCCATGGTACTGGCATTATTGAACTGGTTCTCTGTTGTTTTATTTGGGATCAGTCTTCAATGTTTCACAGCTTGCTCTCCCTAAGAGACAATTCCAAAAGCAGTTTTGTATTTAAAAGGGTATCTGTAAAGAAGTTAAAACCACAGTGACTTTTTTTCTACAGTCATGAATTATTTGGGGAGGCTTTCTTGAAAACTTCCTAAGATCAATGTCTAACAGTATTCAGGCAGACTGCTTATCTCTGTGTGTATGTGCATGTGTGCAATGAAGAAATTCCACTAAGCAGAAACAAATGCCTTTGTCCCAAGCAGTTGAATCCACAGAACCGAGCTTCCAGCTACAAGAGCAAATGTGAGACTTTGCATTCCCAGATGAAAACTATGCTACTTAAAACATGACTGTGAGTACTGAAAAAGGGACTAGTAAGAGCAGTGTGAGCTGATAGGTGGTCAGATACCATCCTTCCGTTCCCCATTCAGGAGAATGAAGACCCTCCTGAGGAAACTTAGAATAACTTATGCTGTAGTGCTGCAAACTAACATTTTTAATCCAAGTTGCATTTCCTTTGCATTTCTTCCATGTTTCCATGTTTCATAATTCATATATCAGGAATTGGAGAGCAGCAGATTTTAGGAGAGAAAAGAAGAGAATATATCTTTCAGTCTTTACCATTCTTTTTCATTTTGAATGTCATTGTCTCCAGAGTAGCTGTCTAGTCCCTGTGATATAACTTAAAAGTTACACTGGAAGCAAGTCATAGCTACACATTCACTGTGTTTTTTGACTTTGGGAGAGAAATAAATGTGTAGTGTAAAAGAGGAGATCGATATTGGTTAGAATCTGAGTGATTTGTGCTATTAGAGGGAATAGCACAAGAATGTAATGAATAAGAATGATACTTGATTTCTCTGTAGACCTTTCGGATCTTTGAAATACTGAATATATACCTCTAAATCCACTTCAAATATACCCTGCAGGGCAGGGATGGCTTTTCAGGTATTCAACTGTGTATAGCTTTTTAACAACTTTTCTTCCCAAATTTGGGGGATAGGGAGGGAGATTCTTAGTTTACTCAGTTCTTTTACCTGTAATACAAAAATAATTTGTTTTGATGAGGTGTGTAAGGAAGTATGGAACAGATGGGAATGAGTGTGAATACAGGAAAGAGAAGAGGAAAATTTAACTCTTAAAAAGTCCTAGAATCGTAGTACTGTGAGTTAGGTAAGGAAAGTCATCTCTGGTATTATGCTGAATTTTCAAGTTAATAGATCTATTAATTTGTTATTGTAGTCTTGAAAACAGAAATGCTGCATAACAAACTTGTCATTCAGAATTCATTTTCAAGTCGAAATGAAGATGTATCATTGCAAGAAATTAGTTCTAGTACTGGAAAGTGAATTTAGTCTTCTCTGATCATATCAAGACAATTTCACATTTCAGATTTAATAACAGGAGTGAAAAATCTATCCTTCAGAATAAATGCTAAGGAAGAAACAAAACCTGAATTTTACAATTAAAAAGACTTCATTCAATGGCAGAGGTTTAAGTAAAATAAAGAATATAAGATGTTTCATCATTTTAAAAAACTAGCAAACAGTTCCAAAATTTAGTCTAATTTAAAACGCGGTTTTATTTTAATTTAAAGAAAATTAAAAGGTAAGTTTAAATGCTGTAGTCTAAAGATTTTGCACATAGCTTGCTAACCATTGTCATCCCTTTGTAAAATA